AAGAAAGAAAGAAAGAAAGAAAGAAAGAAAGAAAGAAAGAAAGAAAGAGAGAAAAGGGAATTTGGAAAATATAAATAAGTCACAGGATCACAAAGAATAAATGTCATGGAAAAAACAACCAAATAAGATTTCTAGAAATTAAAAGTATAATTTTAATTTACAAATGGAATGGACATGTTAAAAAACAGATTAGGTGGGGCGCCTGGGTGGCGCAGTCGGTTAAGCGTCCGACTTCAGCCAGGTCACGATCTCGCGGTCTGTGAGTTCGAGCCCCGCATCGGGCTCTGGGCTGATGGCTCAGAGCCTGGAGCTTGTTTACGATTCTGTGTCTCCCTCTCTCTCTGACCCTCCCCTGTTCATGCTCTGTCTCTCTCTGTCCCAAAAAATAAATAAATGTTGAAAAAAAAATTAAAAAAAAAAAAAACAGATTAGGCCTAGTTGAAGAATAAACGGATCTATAGGAAGGAACAAGAGGACAGCATACAGGAAACAATAAATGGTAAATATAAAAGAGAGTTCAAAGGCACAGAAACAACATGAAGTGGTCTATCATATGTCTATTTGGAGTTCAGGAAGTTTATAATTTAAAGAACAGGAAGAGGCATTATTTAAAAACATAATGTCTGAGAATTTTACAGAATTGTTGAAAGATATCTAAGTGGTCTAGCAGATCCCAAGAAGAGTAAATAAAAAGAATTCCTTACCTACACACTCATAATGAAATTGCAGAACATCAAAGAAATATCTAAAAAGCAGATAATTAGAAAGGACAGGTATTTACAAAGAAATAGCTGTTGGACTGGTGAGTGACTTCTCAACAATAATACAGAAGATTGAAAACTGCAAAATGATAGCTAAGAAAAATTTCCACCGATTCTAAGAGACACAACTTGTCAAGTCTCTGCAACTGGGATGCATCTAAAGTTGGTGCCATTTCATATAGTGGGTAGTTTAGGTGGCAACATTTTTAAACTTTATAATAGTGCGTAAAATAGTAGCAATTCTTCAAATCAAGGATATATTGTAACTGGCAGCTATAAGTCTATACTGAATGAAATTATGTTTTAATAGGGGGGTAGAATAAAGACATTTTAGAGAAACAAACTGAATTTACCAATATGCCCTCATTTAAGAAAATTCTAAAGGATAGATTTCACATAGAAAATTAACTTACAAAGTCTAAAATACAAGCAAGAATAGTAAAAAAATAATAGTAAATATGTGGATATATTTAAATAAGCATGAAGTAATTTTAAAAATAGGATTTAGGGGATTGAAAATAAAGAATAGAACCAATGCAGGACAAAAAAATGCATATACATGGATAGGAGAAAAATAGTTTAAAGCAGTATAAAATCTTCAGATTTCTCAGGAGTTAACAAAGATTTCAGTTAGCTTTGTTAAGTATATAATGTAATATAGTTAATATAATTACTAAAACTGTAGTCATATAACTTTTAAACTAGTAGAAAAGGATGGGGTGCCTGGGTGGCTCAGTCAGTTAAGCAACCGACTTCAGCTCAGGTCATGATCTCACACTCCACGAGTTCAAGCCCCGTGTCAGGCTCAGTGCTGACAGCTCAGAGCCTGGAGCCTGCTTCGGATTCTGTGTCTCCCTCTCTCTCTCCTGCTCATGCTCTGTCTCTCTCTGTCTCAAAAATAAGTAAAAACATTAAAAAAAATTTTTAAACTGGTAGAAAAGGAAAAAATGGAATGAAAAAATAAATGCAACAAAACAAAAACATAATCAGTTTTTGGCACAAGAAGAGGAAGGAAAAGGAAACAGAAATATAATGGGACAAGAGAGTATGCATAATGTGGGGTGTCTGGGTGGCTCAGTCAGTTAAGTGTCTGACTTCGGCTCAGGTCATGATCTCATAGTTCTTGAGTTCGTGCCTCATGATGTGCTCTGTGCTGACAGCTCAGAGTCTGCTTCAGCTCCTCTGCCTCTCTCTCTGCTCCTCTCCGCCTTGCACCCTCTCTCTCTCAAACATAAATAGACATTGAAAAAAATAAAAAAAAAGAATATGCATAATGTAATGACAGATATACATCCAAATAGTCAGTAATATCTATAAATGTAAATGAACTAATCCTTCTAGTTAAAAGCAAAGATTATCGACATTAGTTGAAGCAAAAAACTGAAAAACCATATGACAGCTAAGAGTTTAATAGGTAAATAATAGGCAAATAATTTATTTCATACAATAAAATACTGCATAATGATGGAAATTAATTTTTCATTTATTATTTTTTTATTTTAGAGAGAGAGAGCACACACAAACGGGGGAGAGGGGCAGAGAAAGACAGAGAGAATCTTTTTTTTTAAGTTTATTTATTTTGAGAGATAGAGAAAAGAGAGAGAGAGAACCAGCAGGGGAGGGGCAGAGAAAGAGGGAGACAGAGGATACAAAGTAAGTTCTGAGCTGTCGGCACAGAGCCCAACATGGGGCTTAAACTCACAAACCTTGACATCATGACCTGAGCTATAAAGTCTGATGTTTAACTGACTGGAGCCACCCAGGTGCCCCAAGAAAGAGAGAATCTCTTTGATGCAGGGCTGGATCCCATGACCCTGGGATCATGACCTGAGCTAAAATCAAAAGTCAGGTGCTCAACTGATTGAGCCACCCAGACACCCCAAAATTATTAATAACTGTAGTAATTATTAATAACTGCATCAACACAAACAAAGCAAAAGAAGTAACAAAAGAAAGCAGTATAATTCAATTCAAATCAACTTTCAAAACCGATAAAAATATGGATTAGGGATACATGTATGGGTGATTAACTAGGAAAAGAAACAAGGAATGACAGATGCAAAATTCAAAACATCTACTACTTTGAGGTTTAGGTGGGAGGAAAGGGATTTAGTTAGGAAGGGGCACACAGGAAGCGGATAAGGCAATGTTCTGTGAAACTAGGGAGTAAGTTCATAGGTATTTGTTTCGTTATCTAATCTGTGTGTATACATTTTGTAATTTTCTTTTTTTTTTTAAATTTTTTTTTTCAACGTTTTTATTTATTTTTGGGACAGAGAGAGACAGAGCATGAACGGGGGAGGGGCAGAGAGAGAGGGAGACACAGAATCGAAAACAGGCTCCAGGCTCCGAGCAATCAGCCCAGAGCCCGACGCGCGGCTGGAACTCACGGACCACGAGATCGTGACCTGGCTGAAGTCGGACGCTTAACCGACTGCGCCACCCAGGCGCCCCTACATTTTGTAATTTTCTAAGCATGACGTATTTTTGAAAATAAATCCATACACAAAACAAAGCCACGTATTTTTAAAAGATGTGTATATATATTCAAAGGCATATATCAAATATATTAGATTGAAATGGGATACAAATGGAGATCATGGGGAAAAAAGTAAAGCACAACCTTACACAGAAAGATGACAATATACCATGAACTAACATGAGTAACTTGACAGCATACCCGAGATCCAAAATGAGAGTAAACTGATTAAAATGTGCTAGCTATCTTATTTAGTACATTTCAATCTCCCATCCAAGTACTAACCAGGCCCGACCCTGCTTAGCTTCCAAGATCAGACGAGATCGGGCGCGTTCAGGGTGGTATGGCCGTAGACTAGTACATTTCAATCTCACTAAGATTTATTTTTTTTTAAACAAGGAGTATTTCTTTTTATTCCCTCTTTTTTTTTTTTTAGTTTTTTTTTTTTTTTTTTTTTTTATATA